GAGAGACGTGTTCAGTGAGTTCCCCCAAAAAGCGGCGTATTGAGGATTTTTTAAAAGTGTAATGGTGACAGCAAAAGAGAAGGGGCCTAAGAGATTTTTTTTAAATTAAAAGGGAGAAAACAGCAATCAAGTATTATTTTTTGAGTTTTCAAAAATAAAAGACTTTAAGTTTTTTGTATCTCTGGTGCATTTCATCTCAAAGGATGAGAAGGATCTGACAGCGTGACAGATGAGCAGGGCACACCTGGCAGCCTGCAGGTTTTGTAGTCCTGGTTTTGCTGCTGACTGAGTGGCCATAGGCAAGTAGCACGGTGCTTTGTTTCAGCATGTCAGCTTCCACAGTTGTTTTGTTTCAAAAGCAGATAATGTCTGTCTGTCCACAAGGCAGAACTGTTGTGAAAACTAATTTCTCGGTAGCTACAGAGTACTTTTAACAATCAGTCTTCCATCTCCAAGAATTTTAGCCTGTATTTATAGGAGTCAGTTCACTAGCAAAATTGGGCCCTTGCGTGGGTCACTTACAAACTGGCTCTCTGGTATTCAGTTTGGCAGTGAGGAGAAAAGATCCAGACAGATCTTGATGTTTTGTGGAGGTGGGGGAGAGGAGGGAGAGCCCCAGATTTTTATCCGTGCAGAGCAGTCAGTACCTTGAAACTAAGCAGTATAACTGTCTGCCAGGTGTGTATTGCCTGTGAGGCACATGTCTGCCTGAGCACACTGATCTCTGGCCTCATCTGCTGAATCTTAGGACCTGCTCCATGACACGTGCTTCTTGTCTCAGTGGAGGGTGAAGCTTGTGCTGACTGCCAGGAATTAAGCCTGGCTGCTCAGGAAGGGGGTGTTTGTGTGTGTTCTTCAAGACACGAGACTGATTTCCACAAATCAGTGAGGAGAGGGGGACATGTGCGGACTTTTGTTCTCTATTTGTAAGAAACTGATTCTGGACTGAACTGTTCAAATAAAAAGTTGGTTTAAGTTGTGGTTCCCAAGCTTTTGGTACTTTTTCTGTTTTAGAATTTCATGTCCCATTTGGACCTTAAGCTTAAGAAATACATGATGCAGTGGAAATATGAGTTTTTTAAAATATTTACAATGGCTAGGATAGGTCTTTTTGGGGACACTTCCTTTTGTCCTTTCTAAAACGCATCAACTTTCAAATGGGAAACTCCCATGATACTTTGCTTATAGATGAATCAACAACTACTTGCATAAGACATTCAGGCTGGTACCCTAGGACCTGTTATTTGCTCCCATTACAGGTCTGTGCAGGTTACACTGAGAATGCCAAAAGCAGCACTGTTGCTTGATGCAGTGATTAAAATACCTGTTTTTGATTTGTGATAGTCTCAATCATCCTCTCAGCCCTGTGAGCTGGGAGACCTGAACTCCCAGCCTCGGTGCCTGAGCAAAACTGCTCTTTGGGTCCTTTCAGGAGCTTGTGACACATTTGCTGTCCCTTGGGCATGGCCTGATTCCACTTCACGGAGGTGATGCCTCTGCAAAAACTCTAGAGGCCACTTTTGATGTGGGCCTGATGTAAAGGCAAATGGCTCTGTTTATCACAACCGATCTTTTCAGGCATCTCTGGCTGGTCTTCATATTCTTGTGTATTATTGCCAGTGTGGTGTAGCGTGATCCCAAATGAGTGTCTTTTGCACTTCTGGTCTTAGTACTTAAAAATAGTTGGAAATGGGGTAGTGTTAAGCAAATGTGACCAGGGAGTACAGGAGAAGGTATAATTTCACAGAGGTACCAGTTAGCTATGTTTACAGCCATAATCTCTAGAGAAGGGTGGGGGAAAAGAAAACTCAAGGCTTACATTTAGCTTCTGGAGGCCAGGAGCTAACATGCTGCGCAGGCAGCATGCTTGGCTGTGTGCAGATACCAGACACTGACAAAAAGCCCTCTCTTCCATGGTCGAGGACGAAAAAGTTTGTGCTAGAAGATCAACCTGATAATAACTGGGACATTTTTTTCCTGCTTCGAAGGGTTTGATTATTGTGTTTTCAGCAAGTGTCATGGAAATGCCCTACAGGCTGTGTATGCAATTGACTTGCTTTTCATTCGTGACTGCAGAAGGTGCTTTGGCACATGTGCCAGTGAAGAGGAGTAGGACTGAGGATCCTGTGACTGGCCAACTGAAGGAAATGCTTTATCTCTGGATTCGAGATGGAGAGCTAAACATCATTTCTCTTGCTCCAACAGCGGACTAGGAGATAAATACAAGCTTTTCAACATTTTTAAATGTCTTTCTTCTTGAACACAGGGTATTTAATCTGTTTCTAGGACATGTGATCTTTCTACTTGCAGAGAGAGTTGTTCTGAGTAAGGGGTGAGAAATGTTGCTGTCTGCCTACTGAAAAAAAAAAAAGGAAGACATTATTTGTGTACCCATATTGTCATGTCCTGTAGGAGTAATTCTCTTCCTCCGTGTAAAGCTTACAGCTATTTCAAAATAGTACTTTTCTGAAATCTGCTGAAAGTACCCTTGGAGAATTCTGCTTCTCATAAACTCAATTTATCTTATCCATATATTGATAAATCCCAGCCCTGTTAGAGGAATGCTAGGCGTACTCTTTCTTTGTTAGGGCCCATAAAATCTCAGCTGGTTTGCTGCAGAGTTACAAACGCTCTTCAAGTACACTTGAGATTCGCTTTATCCTTACTAGATGAAAAAAGGGGAGAAGAATCTTGCAGGAAAGTGCTTTTAGTCATTACATCAAGGGATTGGAAAGACTGTGCAGGCCTTAGCCCAATTACACTATTAGTGTGTCATTAATATGATGAGGAGGTGGTTGGGAAGCTGCCAGCTGGCTCAGACAGGATCTCCAAGGCTTGCTGATGAGAATTTGTACAAGGTAGCATGCAGGTTGCCAGCGAGACCCACGGGCAGGCTCTGGAACACGCAGTGCTCTTGGGGACTCTTACACCTGCCCATCGAAGATGGTATAACTAACGTTTTGGCATTGTCTAAAGCCCAATAGAGCAAAGGGAAGGACCCATCTTACTGGATCTTGCAGCATCTTACTGTGACTGGTTGCCTGCTTGTACACCTGTGTCTGCTCTCACCCTTGCTAGAGAAAGGCATGTTTTCAGGAAGGTTGCCAAACCAGGAACAACAGAAAAAAATACACAAACAATAAAATGGAGCAGTTTGAACTAAGTCTTCAGTACGTGAAGCTGGCCGGCCTGGGGCGCGCAGAAGAGTTCAAGGGCGTGGACTGTCAAGGCAAGGCTTTTGGAGCTGTGCTGGCCTGTCGGCGTCCATCCATCCTCTCAGTCACTTGGAAACGTGTATTTTGGTGGTGCTGGGAATGGCTGTCGTCTGAGGGGCTGGGTTCGGTTGTTGGCCGAGCTGTCTGTAATACTGGTAGATGAAGGATATGACCACGCGCTGTACTGTCACGGTGAACTTTAACTCTGTAGGTGCAGACTGGAGAATAGCAGGATGTGTTGGCTGAGTTGTTGGGGGTTTTTTGTTTTGTTTTGTTTTGTTTTTTTTAACCAAATAGTCACAAAGCAGCCAAAGGAACTTCTTATTTTTTCTTTTTTTTTCCTTCTATTTAATATATTGGTATCAAAGGCATATCCTGTGAGTCGTCATTATGATGAGGATCGGGAAAGGGCAAATACATTCCTAGGATATAGCAAATGAGATTTTGACTCAACAGAGGGAGATACAAATGCCGTTGCCTAAAGCCCCGCTGAGCACTCACCTGGAACAGGGCTCTGGCCCACCAGCTCCTAGGAGGACCTGCTTGGGCGGGAGGAGAGCTTGCAGGAATGATGGAGGAACAGGGAACCTGCCATGACAGAGGGAATTAAAAATGTGAGTGTCCAAACCCTCAAAGCAAGAGCCAAGAGGGGATGCGGCATCTGTCCACGAGCGTCTCTGAAAGTACGGGCCCCAGCCAGGGAAAGGTTAACGTAGTGGCAGGGTACGCTCTCGTCGTTAATTCCCTATTAATTAAATAGACTGCAAACGAAGAGGAGGGCTGTCATGGCTCGAGACAGCTGGGGCGGGCATGGGGCTGTCCCGGGAGGAAAAGCACCTGCAAAAAGTACGCGGGGCTGGTTTCTCCGGGTGGGCTGGGCAGCCCCGGCTCCCTCCCGGCCGGAGGGGATGCGCTGCAGCCGGCTCTGCGCGTTAAAAAGCTGTCGGGCTAACGCGATTGGATTTCTTAATGGAGGTTAATGGGTTGTTAATCCTGTTACGAGCATTGCAGCTCAGCGGCGTTGGTACGCGTTTCGTGTACCCTCCCGGGTCCCGGCCTCGTGCTTTGCCGCTGTGGCGGAGGCAGCCTGGGGGCCCGGGGTGCCGGCTCCCCTCACCCCCCCCCGGCGGCACGCGGGGGCTTTCGTGGCTGGTTGCCTCCACACTGGATGACCCCAAGGAAAGCGGGTAGATGCCGTGGTTGCACCTGATCGGGTTATCGTGAAACCTCTGGGTTTAGGGCTAAGATGAGAATTCATCCTCATTGATTTATATATAATATATATGATTTTTTCTTACCCCTTCTGTGGCTCCGGTCTGGTTTGCTGTTACTTGTTTAATTGACATCTACCTACTACTTATTCTCTTTGAAAATGAGGTGAGTGAATGTAACTGCTCCATCTCCTTTCCTGGTGTGACCTCCTTGGGTGGAAATCCAGGAATCTGAGCTCTTGCGCTACTCTTGAGCTCTCCCCTCCAGTGCTGCTGGGGCTGACGTACCGCTTGGGTTTCACACTCGTGCATGATGTTTTCTGAGCGATGCATCTTCCACCATCAGGCCGCAGCTGCGTTCCGGTTTGTGTGCTTTAGGCTTGAGAGAACCCTGTTGTCGTGGGATAAAGGTACAGAATATACAGCGCGACCATAGAGCTACGCACCGCCGCGGTGCAGACAGGCCCACTCCGAGTCCCATCCGCTCCACGCTCCGTCGCCTATCATCACTTCCGGCGGCGACGGCTCATACTGCGCCTGCGCAGTTGCCGTTTCCTCTCTCCGCGTAGGCGCCGGGCAGGAAGATGGTGAGTGGGGCCGGGGCGCCGCGGCTCATCTGCCGCCATCCGCCCCGGGGCCGCCGCCCTGAGGGCCTGGGGCACGGCGGGGGGCAGGGCGGCGCCCCGGCCGGGGCGGCGGGGGGGGTTGCCTGCCGCCGGGGTGGCCTGGGGGAGATGGCCGAGCGAGGGGAACGGCAGGGCGCGGGGGGGAGACGCTGGAAGACCGAACGGGCGTCCCGGGAAGAGGCCGGGCCCGGGTGCCCAGCGGGAGCTGGGAGGCCGCGGCAGCCTGCGCCTCTTGCCGCTCCGTAGCTTCTGCGACGTGAGGGAGAGGCGTTGGCCGGCTGCGGCGCTGCCTTGGAGCGCTGGGCGCTTTGCTGTGTCAGGAGAGGGCAGCTGCCGAGGAGATGGCGAGCTCCGTAAAGCTGAAGCTTGTTCTGGTTTGCCTCCCGACAGGCTAAGCGCACCAAGAAGGTTGGGATTGTGGGTAAATATGGTACCCGTTACGGCGCGTCCCTTAGGAAAATGGTGAAGAAGATTGAAATTAGCCAGCATGCCAAGTATACCTGCTCCTTCTGCGGCAAGGTGAGAGACGGCCTTCCCTAAAAAAAGTCATTAAAAATAACTTTGTTATTGGTGCTAGAAATGCAATTTGATGCTTCGGTAATTTTTCTACTGAAGAGAGAACTAGTTTTGAGACAGCGATTAGTTTATTGTGAGCTTTAGGCTACTGTCAGAATCCCTTATAAAATAAAGAGAGTTAGTAGACATTTCACATGCGTGTTTAGTGATACTTAAATGAAAACAAAACATAAATTACATTTCATTACACAAAGTAGTGAGAAATGTTGCCATACTATACGTTTTAGGTATCTAATAAAAAGACTTGACAGAATTAAAACAACACGCTTGTTATCCTGATAATTAAGTCATGCCTTGGGCTTTTTCTTTTTTTTCCTTCAGTAACTTTGCAGCTTGCCTGGAGGAGGAAGAGAGCTTTCTTTTCCCACTTAAAACTTTTGATTGCAGTTGCTTGCTTACATTTGTGTGCTGTATAACTCTGGATGGGGAAGAGTTTCTCATAAGTAATCTTATCTGCTCATGCAAAATTCATTCTTAAATCTGTTTTTTGACAGTTTCAGAGGCCCATCAGCTTGTGCTTTGCCCAGCTAATTTTTGATATCTGTAAAGTAGGTATCTTTAAGTGGCTGAAAATTTTAAAAATATTTACTTTTTGTTTGTTTGTTTGTTTAGTGTTTTTCTCACGTGAAGTGAGAATGTTGATAACCCCATTTACGGAGCTGCCTAAATCCAGTACAGGTATAGGCAAATGCGGTGTCATCTTTGCAGGGTGATGGAGACTTGCCCAGGTGAAAGGAGCTCAGTACCCACCACTCACTCTTCAGGTGCTATTCAAAGGGGGTCCAGTTTAGAGGGGTCATGGGACGTCCAGAGAGCCCTAGTAATAGCGGTGTTACATTGGTCATCAAACCGGGTGAGAATCTTGGTTATTATGACCAATGCAACTCCTTAGTATTTTTCTCCTTCAAAAAGACCTGAATTTTTGATGATGCATGTTGGAATGACCCACTTCATATCTGAATGAAAAAGTGTTTCAGAAGGACTTTCTTTGTTCTCAAGAATCTAAATAAAAACATTCGCTGATCCTTGCCTGTCTTAACTAGGCTTATAGGTAGTGCTGTGGTGTGATGCTGAAGTCCTCGCCTGAAGTTTGTTCTTTGGCTTTTTCAGCTGATGGAGAGTGCATTTTTTTTCTTTTTATTACAGACCAAAATGAAGAGGAAGGCCGTGGGTATCTGGCACTGTGGATCCTGCATGAAGACAGTTGCTGGTGGTGCCTGGACTTACAAGTAAGGACATGAAGAAGCTCCTATCAGCATTTATTCTCACATAGCTGAAGCATAATATAGCGCTTGCTTTTTTTTTTTTTATTTTAGTCTACTAACCATTAAGTAGATCTGTCTCGAGTTAGTGATATGTGGGGTTTTTTTGCCTGCATTGTTAAAATCTGATTGGAATGGATCAAATTGGATTTGATTGCTATTCTTTCCAGTATCGATTGTGCAGCTTCTGAGAATATTGTATTTGATCCATCATATTACTGCTGCTGGTTTTGATGGGTCCCTCCAAAAATTTCTTTATCTCTCTGGGCTTTATCAAAGTAGTTGTTTTCTTCTTCAAAAATGCAAGCTCTGCATCTTTTCCCAAACTTTAAATAAAGAAATTGAAACATCTGCAAATCCTGAAACAAATATTTTTATTTAAGTAGTCTCTTTTGTGCCTTGGCTGTAGTAGCATTTCTTACTGGAGATGTGAACTGCAGTTGTTGCTTGTACGAGGTATTATGCTTGGGCCCTTTTTTTTGTGATGTTGGAAAAAAAGGAGCAGCGAGGATGGCTCGTTCATCCAGCCGTCTTGGGGTGGAATGAACTGTATGGATGACCCCTGACAGATGTTCCACTGACCTATTCTAAAAGAGCTTCAACAGCTTCTAATAAATTATGCGTCTGAGCTGGGGATTATTTTTCCTTCCTTGAGTCTTTTGACTGTATAAAAATTTTAGCTGCATAAGGGAACTCTTACCTCTTCTTTCAAAGCCTAAGCAGCATTTTTTGTGATTACTACCCTAGCCTTTTCAGTTCAAAGACACAGATACAATAGGCAAAACCAGGTTTACTCCAAGGAACATGATTTCCATATTTTGTTTTTATATTAAAAGCATTGAATCATTATAATCCTTATTGCGATGGTGCCCTCGCTTACTCCTTTTCTTTAGTTTCCTTCCCCCCCAATTCTGGTAGAAGACACTGTTGTCCCACGCATGACAGTCGCTAGGAATTTGAGCCCACGCACTTGTGCACGTAGTCGACGCATGACTGGATAATTTGGGTTGAGATGTAGCTTGTGAAGTTGCGTGTGCTTCTGTAGACAAAGGCCTACGCTTTGTTGTCATGAAAATCAAAGTGGAATTAGCCTCATGTTGACAATGCAATCAGGCGATAACTATTTGAAATGATTAGTGCTTTCTCCAAAAAATAACATTGGCGCGGGTTGTTCTACCGCCACGTGCGGATGACTCTGCTTCTTCTTCCAGTACCACCTCTGCAGTGACAGTCAAATCTGCGATCAGAAGACTGAAGGAATTGAAGGACCAGTAAAAGCTACGTCATGTTCTCCTTGTGCAACATCCATTTTTCCGCTGTCAATATCTGTCCTTTTAACAATAAAAAGGTGATAATGGAGTTGGAATCATGTCCGTCTTTCTGCAAAAAGTCCTGTCTGTCTTTCTGTACTATATTTATAAGTAGAGACATTAGTAGTTCTATCCAGTAGTTGAGTGGCTCTTGTTACTGATGAAGCCATTAAAAACCACTTTTCCTTTCTAGTTAATTGCATACTTTGTTGCTTAAATGCGCTGAGGTGAATCTGAGGAACGCTTAAATAGCTTGAAGAAGCCTGGCACATCTTGCTATGTCTTTCATGTCTGTGCCTTGAGGAACAGCCTAGAGCTCCGTGAGTGGAGGAATGGACAGATGTAAGGGGGGAGGAGAGAACATGCAAAACATCGCTCTGCCGCTTCCCATTTGCCTTTGAGGAGGGCTCAGGGGAGTAGGGCGTGTGCTGCAAGATGGAGGAGAAAAAAAAGCATCATGACTGGCTTGGGGGCAGAGATTGGAATGGTAAAAGGGCAGCTATCATCCTCTGTTGCTGGCTGGTGCCGCTTTATTTTCCAGTGCCAGCTACAGACAGTTGCTTACTGCAGCCTGTAGCGTGGTGGTGTGTGCAGGTCTTGAGGTCGGTCTACCTGAACGTGCCCTGTGGCTTGCTCTTCCTAGGTCTGATAGTGGGCTGCTGTGTCTGTATGTTCAAGTTCCCTAATCCATACCAAGTTGCAACAATAAAATCTTGGGTGAACTCCTGGGACATTCAGTCTTGAAGGAAAAGCTGCTGTTTGAGTTAATAATTTCCTTGAAATCATCTCTGTAGACCTCCAAGCTTAAGATGCTGGAACATGTTTTATGGTCTGTTTGTCAGGTGAGTTTTGATGTGGTTTGAGGTTTGTTTTTGTCTGGACTGCAGCACCTTTCCTGTCCTCAGGTCAGAAAAGACAAGTCTTGGTAATAACCTTGATAGCTGCTGGAGGAAAAACAGTTAGCAGGTAGCATGTGGTTGCTTGCTCTTCCTCCAGCTTAAGCTTTAAATGGATTCGGGTGGTGATGAGCTACGGCAATAATGTCATTAAGGAGCCTGGCGTCTTCGAAAGAGATTCAGAAGTGGACCTAAGCAGGAACCTTTTCCCCAGCTGCAAAATGTCTGTGGCTCAGAAGTTTGACCGCAGTGTCCCTGAACTTGTTTCCTAACCTTATTTTTTTTTTTTAGTTCAGTGCTCTAAACTTCCCTTACTAAAGTGAATTCGTGTGGTCAGGTATCCAGTGTCATTCATACCAACCTGCCTATCCTTCATGTCACCTCCCAGCAGTGACGAGGGTCATTCCCTGGGCCGCAGGCAGTCTGTCTTCTGGGAGGGAGGTCACTGCCCGTCTCTCCATTGACAGCCTCGTTCTGCCTGTAGCGCAGGGTGGAAGAGCGGGGTGATGGCAGTGGGGGACTCCTTAGAAGCAGTGGCTCATTTTTGTGTATGCAGATGAGCCCTGTCAGAGCTGCCTGCCCATGTGTCTTCTGTTACAGCAGGGTTATGAAGGAAACCTGTGGGTTCAAGAAACTCCTAGCTCCACTCTCATTTTTGGGGCTGCTTTTCTTACATGACATGCCCACAGCAGCTTCTCTAGGTACTTGTCAGACCTCCCAGCTTAGTCCTGGGCACTGCTCTTGCTGGTCCTGCTAACCAGCTTGCTTGGGGTGCCATCTCCAAGCTGCCTTGAACTTTCTTTTCAGTTAAGATGTTTCTGCTCCCTTGGGGATGCCTTGTGCACTGGTGTGTGGATAGCTGGAACAGCTCAAGGAGCCAGCTTTTCTCCTGCTGGCTGCTGCCTCCACTGAAGGTGAGGTGCATGGTGTGTGAGGATGGCTCGTGCTACTGTGAGGATCTCTGCTGCCTGAAAAACAGCTGCTGGCCTGCCTCAGTGAGTTTATTAAGGGGCGCTGCCCCTGGCTTTGGCTTACCTTCCTACGTAGGTTTATGAAGTGCTGTGATCCAGGGGCTGCTTTGCAGGTAACCGAGCCATCCTTTAAGGAAACGGCAAGAAGGAAGGGTTGGGGAGCTGGTATAGACTGGATGTCCAGAAGCAGCTCTGTGTCCCGCTTGGAACTCCAGGAAAAGGGGTGAAGCAGTTGGGGGAAGCTGCTCCAGTTGCCAGCTTACACAGAGATGAGTGAGCTCCGAAGATGTTGGCCACACATCTGTGCATCACCTTGGGAGAGTGCTTTTGAGAAGGCTTCCAAGCAACAACAACGCTTCTGTAACTGCATCAAAATAAAGACAGCTTCCATTATGCTAAAGGGGTCTTCATGTGAGCCCTTTTGTTGGGAAATTGTGATGAAACCATGTGAGCACTGATTACTTTGCTTGCTACTTCATTGTGTGAAAGCCTTTGGTGGTAAAACATTCGATGTGCTTGGGGGGGGGGTTCCTCTGGTGATGTGGCCGTACAGCTCTGCCTCTAGAAGAGGCTCTGAGGGGCTTGGCTTGCTCTGGAGGTCCACGTTTCTACAGCCATTTGAGGCAGGAGAGGCCTGACAGCTTGGAAACAGCAGCCCAGCTTCCTGGGCGGTGGGCTTGAGGATGGGAAGGGGAAATGCTGTTTTCAGTGAAGCTGCACAAGAGGTCCAAAACTCCAGCACCACCTGCATGAGGTGTTCCTACTGGGCCAAAACTTCGCAGGGATCTGCAGCAATACAGGGGCCATGGATGTGGCTCATCTGCCACAGGAATGTCACTGCTGTGCCTCAGTCATCTGCCAGGGAAAAGTACAGCTCAGTCCTTGGGACAGCTGCAGGTGTCCCCTGGTTAAATGTGTCCTCTCTTCTGGACTTCTTGAGCCGCTAAGATCAGGTGTAAGCAGCAAGCTGGTGAGCATGCTCCTGGCAAATTCAGATTTACCTGCAGTCTCAAAGCCTTGTAGCTGGCTGTGACAGCTGCTGTGTGGAGCTGTGTGTTGCCAGCTCTCACTGCCTTTACAAGCAGGATAATGGTGGTCTGCATATTGCCTTTTATTCCTCACTCAGTGTGCTTGGGTCATGCCATGTCCCTCTCCCCTCCCAGTTCTGGGTGCTGAGATATGTTGATATCCCAGGGTGATTGCACAGGTATCTTATCTAAGGTGACTTCTACTCCTGCTGAGGAAGTTATTAATTACCTTTGGGATTAATATTTGCAGAGAGTGGAAGCTGGGCGGGGTTCAAATAGGAAGAGAAGACAAGAGAAGGATGTGGGATGATTTGTTCGATCTGGACCGCGTGGTCCTACCTGCGTGAGCTGCACCCGCAGAGCCCCTGGGCTTGTTTTCTCCCGAGAGCACGGTGGTGCCTGGCCTGTTCCTCACCAGAGGGGTTTTGTGCTGGTGAACCTTCAGGGCTGCCAGGTCGGCACGTTTCCCCAAAGCGAGAGCGGGGAGGGCAGGAGGAGGAAGGACGCCGTGGTCAGGGCGCTGTCGGCAGGCAATGCTGCGAGCGGCCAGCGGGCGACACTGCTGCTCGGTCTTGCAGGGCTGCCGCTTGGCTGCATCTCCTCAGCTTGCCTTCCCATCCCGGAGACAGGCTCTGCTCACCTGTACGCCTACTAGAGCTTCTTGGCTCAGTGTTTCATGCTTTCCCCCTAAAACAGACCGTGACGGTGATTTTAGACTGAAACAAGGGTCTGTGCCAAAAGAGGTAAGGACGTAGGAATAGGAATGGGGAGGTTGGAGACAGGCATTTTGTGGGCACTTGTCACTTCTAATAGAGCTGATTTTTTGTTGTTGCTCTGTCCAAACCCTGTATATCTCCTAGGAGAATTTTTTGTATCAACAGCTATGTGATTTGGCCAGGTGATCCTCAAAATTTGTTATTTCCTCTGGGAATCGAGGATGAAAACAGGAATTCTTAGCAATTTTACTTACTGCTTTCAGTATAGTTGTTGTTGAGCCTCAGTCAGGAACTTGGAAAGAGTTGTCTTAGGTGCTGTAGAAGCAGAGAGCAAAGTGCTGGCACCTGTCTTGGAGGCTGTGAGCTTACGGCAGCGTCTGACCCTTCTGGATTGCTACAGCTGTGGGAATTAGAGGAGGGTTTGATGGAAACAGAGACTTTGGATCTGACTGTTCTGTAGATGTGGCTGAGCAGGTTGGTTGATCTTGGTTGCTTTTGAAGAGCAGGTGGGAAGGGGACCTCTTTCTCAGAGCAATCTATCAGTCCCATGGGATATTTATGCTGGATCAAGAATATAACCCAAGGGGATGGTGGCTGTAATCAGAGAGGCATTTCAGGAGCCCAAAGGAACTTGGAAACGGAAGACTGAAAGAACTTGGGGCAGCTGTCCTCATTCTGGTTTCTCTGTTAAGCATTTACCTGCTTCCAAAAGAAAATAATTGCTTTGGCTTTACCCCATTTGTGCTTCCTGCTCCCTCCTGCTCACGGACAGCCTGTTTGTTCGGTAGGGGATGATGATACTAAGCCTTGGGGGCACCATTTGTGTCTGTATTGTGCCACACATTAAAGACCATTGGGGCCTAGGGCTCATGGGGATGAGAAACCTCAGCCACAGGCATTGGTTGTCCCTTCTGTGCGTCCTGGCTTAAAGGCGGTGTGGACTCAGCCCATGTGCAGGTACTCCCTTTTGCCTTTGTGTCTTACTTGGGGATTTGACTGTAATAGAGCCTGACAGGTATAAGCAATGGGCACCATGTTTTAAGGAGTCTATCCTTACTGTATGATCGGCTGCCTTCATCCTTGTGCAAGATTAAGTGCTGCCCATTGCCTTCCTGAGCTTCTTCATGCCTCTTCCTCCATGCTGCCTCCCAGGGAGATTCCCAACAGTGCTTCAGAAACAAGAGCAACCAATGCAGGTGAGTTACCTTCCTGGGGCAGATATACCCCGTCCTGGGAAATTTTTCTAGGTCTCTCCCTAGCAAGAAAAGAGCCTTAGTGATGAAGTTTATTGCTGGCTTTGCAGCTCAGAGCGTTGGCCAATGAGAGAATCAGACAGGATTGGGGAATGATGTGACTGCCGCTTTAACGGGCTGCGAGTCACCATCTGATTTTACATATTGTCCCAGCTTTGAGCTGCTGCTCACCTCACCTGAATGCTCA